CTGGACAGGATATAGCTGTTCCAACTTAGGGAGCCCACTCGGGCAGAGTGACTGGTCATATTTCGAAGCCGTTTCTGCTGCTGCACATCCCATAGCTAGAGAGAGAAGCCCACCGGGATGAGAGATTGGGACTTGACATAAATATCCTCCAGCTGTGCAAGCCCACTGGGACTGGTGAGAACTGCAGGGCAGGGACATGTCTCACCTGCACCTCAGCACTGCTGGTGCCCACAGCCAAGTAGTTGCCCTCTTTGATCCAGGCCACAGAGGATACATATTCCCCAGGCTGCTCCATTTGCAAAAGCTGCAGGATGTCACCAGAGCTTGCACTCCACAGGTACACACTGTTGTCCAGTGCCACAGCCAGGACATTCCCAGAGCTCCAATCCACAAGGTTCAGGTCTGTCAGAGGTGGAGAGAAGAGCATGAGCTTCCTTGTTTGCTGGTCCCAGGCCCTCCTTCTCCGTCTCTGAAGCTAGGACAAGGATGCACTTACAGTAGTCATTTCGGATTTCTGGGGCATCCAGGATACGGTCTGGCAGGGAAGGAATGTAACGGCAGGTCTTCCGGCTGGAGCCAGGCGTGGCCTTTTGACTGTAGAGTACTTTCAGTCTGTTCTGGTAACCTGTGGCAACGGAGTGGGTCTAGATGCTGGGAAAATCAACACCTCTCTTGCCCTCAGTCTTAGATGGGAAGAGCAGACAGATATCTGCGCTCAACCCTGGGGATAAACCGACACTTCCATCAAGGAACCAGGAACTTCAGGTCTTACCCTCTGGGGCATTTTGTGGTTTTCCACTGAGCCGAAGGATCTTGGCTTCCTCTACATCAAAACCGTTCAGATTCAAAGCCCAGGCTTTCTGATGTTCCTGGCATAAAGGGTGGTGGAGAAGCAAGATGGTATTATCCAAAGAACAGTCAGGTCCTGTGCCTTAAGCCCCTCTGGGAAACGTACCTTCTTGGTGGGCGTCTGGCTGTTTTCAGGCTGGTTCTCCTTGCTCAGGAGGAAGCTGGCCACCTCCATCTGGGCAGCACTGCGTTGGGGGATATAGCGGTCACCGCCAGGTTTGCTAGGAGTGGTCTGAACCTTGGAACTGCATTTGCCTGGGGCGGGGAAAGAGAAGACAGTCGGACCGGGCTCCCTAGGGGAGGAAGCATGAAGGCTACTTTCAGCCAGTCCCTCTGGCACCCCACTGACCAGGAGTTCGGCCCGGAGTCCTGCCGGCGCTGTGGGATCGGTTGGCGGCCCGCATGGGTGAGGGGGCCGGGCCTGCGGCTTCCTTGGCTTTGCGCTGCCAGCGCGCGGGGGGTGCATTGGGGATGGGTGTATCCAGCTGAAGCAGGGAGTGCAGGTCACTCTCGAACGCGAACTGCGCCATGGGAGCGCCCGCAGTGGGAGGGGTCCTTGCAGTTGGTGCCTGCGGAGCCCTGGAGAAAGGAGGCGACGGTGCTCAGGGGACAGCGAGGGACCCCTTCGCTCCTGGCCGGTCACACAATCAGGGCCACCCTCGGCTGCAGCCCCTTCCAGCCTAGCACCCCATTCCCCTGGCCACGGCCCCACCTCGGCTCAGCCCCGCTACCTCTCACCGTGCGCTCCCTATCAGGTTGCAGTTCGGACCGGCTTCAACACGCCTGGCTTAAGCCTCTTAAACTCTCCGCTCCGAGCACCCATTGGCTCCTTCAAAACGCAACCGTCGCAACCGTTGCCCTCGCCCATTGGCCTCTCCAGCTCAGGGGGCGGGTCTTCCGGGACAAGTCTCAGCTCTCACGAGAGTCCAGATGCGGAGCGCGATTTGAAGGCTGCGAGAGGGACTGGGAGTCGGCGCCAGAGGACCGGTGCTGGAAGGCAGGCGGGGCGGGGCATGCGCTGCCTCCGCGTCCTCGAGTCACCTCTGTAGGCTCCTCTGCGTTCCTTTTCCCGCCGCAAGCTCATAATATCTGGCCCTGGGTGCTTCAGGGTCCGAATGCCTGCGGAAGTTCACACTTAAATCCTGCACTAGGGTCGTATTTATGATGCATAACTTGGTGCAGAACCTGGTGGAGTGCCCAAGGCACTTGAGCTGTTTCTAGGAGTGCAAGGAGAGCCGCGGGCAGCAGCGGGGCAGGGGATGGGAGTTGAGAAGCGTGGGAACGAGTTGAGAAGCTTGGGAGCAGGAAGAAGGCCGGAGCTACTTAGGGTACATTCCACTTTTGCTTGGCGCCGGGTAGGAACCCTGCTGGAAAGGAAGTAACGTGTGTTTGTCTTGTTTGCTGTTGTTTTACAAACAGAGAAAATGAGGTTGAAAATGGGGAATGAATTCCTTAAGGTCAAGAAAAAGCATCGGTATTCTAACCTGCCTATCTGGAAGATAAGGTTAGACTGCCCTACAGGAGGCACTGTGGCTTACCCCATGGGGCTTTAAAGGTGTGAGGGCCTTAGAGATCCATTATTCCAACCCGTGCGTGGTGCACCCTCCCCGCTCCGACAAATCCATATTCTACAGTTGGAGAAACCGGGGCCCAGATAAAGGATGTGCCCGAGGTCATACACAGAAGTTTGTGGGAATCCAGGTGTGACTCCTACTCAATCCAGTGCTCTAATGATGATGTGAGTAAATTGTTTTAATGTGCTCAGAGGTGGCTCAGCATTCATAAAAATAATAATGGTACCATTTATGGACCATCTAACTACCGTGTTAAAACAGTTTACATATATTATCGAGTTCAATCCTTAATCCCATAAGGCAGATAGATACCCTATCTTCCTTTTACATAAAAAAGAAACTGGGCCAGAGAGATTAGAAACTTGCCCAAAGGCATGCGGCCAATAATAAGTAGGGGAACCCAGGATTCAAACTATCTGACTAATCCCTGCAATCATAACAATATGCTATACTGTCCCAGAAAGAGGCTGAAAAAATCAGGTTTCGATTGTTAGCCTAAAGTCCACTCCGATGTTGATAGAGAAAAATCTGGGACTCTGCCAAACTTAATATTATTTTTGACTTGAAACCTTCGTGTTTTCTATTTCCAATTACCTTGGAAAATAAGGAATTGAATATGCTTAGATTAGAGGTAGGGAGTTCCCAGAAACCATAGAAAGGGTTGTCTAGTGTCAAGCTAGTCAGGGTCTTAAATGTTAAGGTAAGGACTTTGTACTTTATCTGCTAGGCATTGTGGAACCTGTGGGGTTTCTGTGTAGGGAAGAACCAAACAAAACATATCTGAGGGGTGAATATGGCCAGTAATTTGCAACCTCTGGACTAAGGGTAGCTGTAGAGAAGAATAAAGGAATTTGTACATTTAAAAATAAAGGATTTGTGGGCATAATAGTCCAAGAAAAAGACAGGAAAAGAAAAATAAAGGATTTGGGCTGGTGTCGTGGCTCACATCTGTAATCTCAGCACTTGGGGAGGCTGAAGTCAGGAGTTCAAGACCAGCCTGCCCAACATGGCGAAAACCTGTCTCTGCTAAAAATACAAAATTAGCCAGGTGTGATGGGGCATGCCTGTAATCCCAGCCACTTTGGAGGCTGAGGCAGGGGAATCTCTTGAACCTGGGAGGTAGAGTTTGCAGTAAGTGAAATCATGTCACGGTACTCTAGCCTGGGTGACAGAGGGAGACTTTGTCTCAAAATACTACTACTAAAATAAAGGAATGAAGGAAGACAATGGAAATTATACAGACATGGATCTTGAAGTGGGAGGTACTCCGATATATATAGTCAAGTGGAATGATTACAAAAAAGGTCACATTTGGCCATTAAATATCAAATCATCGATGACTTTGGAGAGAGCAGGATCAGGAAAGTGGGTGCTTGAGATCCATTTGGGAGGAACTGCAGAAAGAATGAAACAGGGAGAACGGGAAGCCAGCAAGCATAGGTGGCTTGTGTTGCCCATCCCCTGATAGCCTCTGTATTGGTTTACTAAAATTGCTGTTAACAAAGTACCACAAACTAGAAGGCTTAAATGACAGAAATTGGTTGTCTCACAATTCTGGAGATTGGAAGTTCCAGATCAAGGTGTCTGTCATCTGAGGGCTGTGAGGGATAATCTGTTCCATGCCTCTCCCCTGGCTTCTGGTGGTTTGCCAGCAATCTTTAGCATTCCTTGGTTTATAGAAGAATCACCCTGTTCTCTGCCTTCATCTTCACTTGGCTTTCTTTCTATGTGTATGTGTGTCCAATTTTGTCTCTCTCTCTTTTTTTTTCAAACAGAGTCTTGCTCTGTTGCCCAGGCTGGAGTGCAGTGGCGTGATCTCGGCTCACTGAAACCTCCGCCTGCTGGGTTCAAGCAATTCTGCCTCGGCCTTCCGAGAAGCTGGGATTACAGGCATGCGCCACCACGCCCAGCTAATTTTTGTATTTTTAGTAGAGATGACGTTTCACCATGTTGGCCAGGATGGTCCTGATCTCCTAACTTCATGATCTGCCTGCCTCGGCCTCCCAAAGTGCTGGGATTACAGGTGTGAGCCACTGTGCCTGGGCCAATTTTCTCTTTTCATAAGAATACATAAGAATACCAATCATACTGAATTAGGGCCCTGACCTCATCTTAACTAATTTATTATTGAGATGGAGTCTTGCTCTGTTGCCAGGCTGGAGTGCAGTGGCACTATCTCGGCTCACCGCAGCCTCCACCTCCTGGGTTCAAGTGATTCTCATGCCTCAGCTTCCCCAACAGCTGGGATTACAGGCATGCACCACCACACCCAGCTAATTTTTGTATTTTTAGTAGAGATGGGGTATCACCATGCTGTCCAGGATGGTCTCGATTTCCTGACCTTGTGATCTGCCTGTCTTGGCCTCCCAAAGTTCTGGGATTACAGGTGTGAGCCACTGCGCTCAGCCCCATCTTAACTAATTGTGTCTGCAATGACCCTATTTCCTAATAAGGTCATATCTGAAGTACTGGGAGTTAAGATTTCAACATCTGGCTGGGCATGATAGCTTACACTTGAAATCTCGGTGCTTTGGGAGGCCAAGGCTGGAGGATTGCTTGAGCCCATAAGTTTGAGTCTAGCTTGGGCAACATAGTATCACCCTGTCTCTAAAAAAATACAGAAAATATTAGCCAACCTGGTGCTGCACACCTGTAGTCCCAGTAGTCCCAAGTACTTGGGAGGGTGAGGTGGGAGGATTGCTTGAGCCCAGGAGTTTGAGGCTGCAGTGAGCCATGACCACACCAATGCATTCCAGCCTCAATGACATGGCGAAGACCCTGTCTCAAAAGAAAAAGCAGGTTGTCTTTTTGTTTTTGTTTTGAAATAGAGTCCTACTCTGTCACCCAGGCTGAAGCGCAGTGGTGTGGTTTTGACTCACTGCAACCTCTGGCTCCCAGGTTCGAGTGATTCTTGTGCCTCAGCCTCCCAAGTAGCTGGGATTACAGGCATGCACCACTGCGCCCAGCCAAAAAGAAAAAAAAAAAAGACTTTAATGCGAATTTGAGGGAGAGGAGAGGAATATAATCCAATTCAATTCATAATATCCTATTGGTGGGAACCCAAGCAGAAACCAAAGCCCAAGGGAATGCTTTAATGCAAGCCACATGAATCAGCCTTGCTGAGCATAGGACAAGATGGAGAAGGGTGGGGAGTAGGTCTGGGTGGGACAAATGGATGACATCCAGTATACCCACTCTCCCTGATTCCTCCCCAGCTATGTGAAAGGCTCTGACTTTACTCCTAGGGACCTAAAACTGGAATGGGCGGAGCATGAGCTTGAGCTGTCTGTCCCCCTGGCTCTCATTGCTACCTGCCCATAGGTCAGCTGCATCCCTCTACCAAAGGCCACAGCTTCTGCCAGGCAGCCCTCTCTTACAGCTACTCTCTGGTGATCTGGGAACCACTCCCTCCCTTACCCCTTGATGCACAGGGCAGATGCCAGCTCCTTGTTGTTGTTAGCCTCAGAGGTACTTGCACTATTCCTTGATGGTTTTCCCAAATCTTGCCCTCATCCTTGTAAATACTGTTTGCCCTTTATTACACTCCAATCAAATTACCCAATTTGAGTGTGCCTTCTATTTCTGCCAAGACCCTGACTGATATAATGGGTATGTTTGGAGCCAACAAAAAACAATGACAACAAAACCATTTGTTTGAGAAGTAGAATGTGTTAGGCGAGTCCATAACCAGAACTGTCTAAGCATATTTACTGCTGCATATGAACAGTTTAGAGGATGAGGACAGTTGGCATGGGGTTAAGGTAACCTTGCCCAGAAAGATTTCATTTGTTTAGAAAAAATTTATTGAAGGCCTGCTATCATGCACCAAGCAGTACTCTAGGTGCTGGGGGAAGACGACAAGTAAATCGGGGCCCTTTCCCTCAATGAGCTTACAATCTAGTAGCAGGGGACAGACATGTAGCCAGTTGGTTGCAGTAGAAGCCTGAGCTGGAGATAAGAACTTTGGAATGGTCAACATATAATAAAGGCAGAGAATAGACGGGATTGAAGACTCTGTTAAGAAATGGAATATTGAAGGACTGTAACAATTGGAAAAAATGCTAGAAGAAGAGAGTAAGAAGGAATAATTACAACAGTAGTTCAGATATATTAATCATTTACTATGTCCTAGGCACTCTGCTTTACTTAGATTATCTCAATCCTCATCACAACTCTATGGGGTGCTATTATTATGCCTGTTTTACAGGTGAGAACACGAAGGCTCAAAGACATTAAGTTATGTGCCCAAGATTGCACAGCTAGCAGATGTGAAGGACAGGAATTGAATTCAGCTTTGACTCTAGATCTACTCTAGCTACTAGTACACTCAGCCAGGCGCAATGGCTCATGCCTGTAATCTCAGCGCATTGGGAGGCTGAGGTGGGTGGATCACCCAAGGTCAGGAGTTCAAGACCACCCTGGGCAACATGGTGAAACTCCCTGTCAACTAAAAATACAAAAATTAGCTGGG